ATCTTGACTGCCAGGCGAAGAGAGTGTGCCAAGGGGTTTGGCCGTAAACTCTAGGCATGCCACAAACCGTATACTGTCGACTACACGCCAAATCTTTGGAACTCTACTAACTCTACAACGATGCTGAGGAAGCAAAGGAGGCCCTATACCATCTATTTCGCAAAGGTTCAGTTTCTAGATTTCGCAAAAAAATCCACTGGTAGCAATCCCAAATAGACACAGAACTCTGACAAATACCCACTGCCACTGCGCCTCTTCCCAAGGTCAACGCGGTGAAGCGCGTCGTAGGCTTGAGGCCGCGGTTCCTCCTCACTCACGCAGGGGCCCCTGGATTTCGCAGGTCGTTTCAGGAGGGAAAGCCACTCAGCCTCAGCTCAGAATCAAGGTTTTTTTGACGTTCTGGATATAGTCCCCTGTAAGTAGATAGAATATGGCCTTGGCTATATTGTAATATGATCCCCATATACCCCACATTCTATCTACTTAAGGTGGACTATACACCTAGACCGCAGATCAAATTGAGAAAACAAGGGAAAGCTACAGGCTAAGTCAAAACCCTAAGGCCCTTCAGGACGAACACGTAGATTCTCGCGCAGCCGTCCCTCGACCACTCCATCTCCTGAGCCTTAAACCCCGGGACTCAGGATCCAAAGGAGGGTCGGCATCCTATGTAATCAATCCCTCAAAGAACCCTCAATCCCGAATCCTACACCACCACGCCACCAAGCACTCAGCCTCAGGCCCGAAGGCCTTCAATCGTAATTAACGGAAAACAGTCTCTGAAGCCTGGATTCCGAAAGCAAGGACCCCTAAAGCTCCAGAATCCCTACAGACAAGTGAGTGCCTAAACCTTGACTTGTCTTGTTGCTGGCTCACAGCCATCTGCCGGGTAAAAGCTCCCCGCAACTCGTCTCTTCCGCTCCTCTCGCTCCTGGGCAGTGAAGGGTTTGGGAAAAAAATCGGCTCACTCATAGAGGGCTCAGTATCAGGGATTCCTGTTGGGTTAATTTGGAGAAGTCATATGTTACTCTTCTGAGGGTAGCTGAGGTTTGGGTTCTATCGGGGTCAGGGGAGCTTGTTAGATTTTACATGCTTGTACAACACCCCCTGCAACCGTACACTAAGCACTAAAGCCTAAACGCCGAAACCCCTGAAGCTCCAAAAGCCTTGGAGCCCCCATGATGATCCTGAAGCCCTACACCTTAAGCAGGGGTGGGCAATAAAGGCCTAGGTATTCTGCAGCCTTGGAGCATGCAAAATGGAAGAACTGCTTTGCATTCAGAGTTTGACGTATGAGCTTCCAGAAATTAAACCCTGAATTTGGGTAGTGTCAGGGTTTAGGTGCGTTCGCAGGAATCATCTTGGGAGGGTCCATTTTTCAGGTGCTGTAGGGCTGGAACTCACACCCTGGCTTCCTACTTCCCAAAAGATGAGACAGAGACAGAAAGATGGTTGCTGACGATTGAAACTCCATTCAATCTGTTCCTTGCCGTTCAGCTCCTATAGATTTAAGCTCAATATTTCTTCCTAGCTCTGCCTCCTGCATCATTAGGCCTCAGCTGGATTCCCCAATATCGGGCAGACCTTCCGAGAACAATGGTTCCTCTGATTGACAGCTTCCCTCCCCCAATAATAAACCTACCAACCCCCCTGCTCAAAAACATATTAGGGGCTCTACATGGGGAGCTGAGCCATCTCGACGCCTTCAAATCGCTCCACATGTTGATGGCAGCTGCTATGATGGAAAATCAAATGGAAAATGAGATGGAAGAAGAAGATATACGGATTACATAGGCTGACAGGGGAATAGTGAAAAATGAGAACTACTACGTTGATCATAAACTTGTTTCATTTCAAAGTCAGAGTCCAGCCTCGAGGCCCACCACTATGTCTAAACCCCAACACGTGTTCCTGGGTTCCCTTGTAGGGATTCCTTCCTAACACAAGAACATGGGTCCCTGCTTTGAATTTCCCATCTTGTTTCGGGGCTTGAGGCCCTACTCCCTAAACCTTTTTAAACCCCTAAACCGTAAGCCCTAAACCCCATGCGCAAAGGCTCTTTCGCAACAGCTATGGCGCTGCGTCGGTTCAACGCTGGCCATCCCTGAAGGGTGATTTTTCGCGGGGATTAGTGAGGATCAGGGACTCCCTTTTTGGGGGTCCCCATAGTAGCAGTAAGGATGCTGTTTAGGTTGAGGTATGTAGTTCTGCAGTCTCCTTAGGAATTTCTGTGAGTTTCTAATTCAGTAAAACCCAAAGGAGTTCTAAGGAGACGACAGAGTTTGGGGTGTGGAAGGGGGCCTTGGAGTTTTTCAACCTTCAGAAATACCCCTCTTAGACTGCTATGAAGCCATGACCCTGATTAGGGTTTCTCTAGCTGTTCAGGCTGTTGTGGGCATCTTTCTGGTCAACGTCCTACTACTTTGCAGATATGCCGGTTAGTGTAACTTTCAGGGGTATTCATGCATGATGGAGAGCTTTTTGGCAAAACTACCTCAGCCACAGCCATTGTCATTACAAAATCCTTGGGCTCTTCTGGATATCTGGAAACTCTGACGGATGTATCCTGAGCGTCTCCCCCTAGTCTCAAAGCATGAAAGGAAATGTAGAAGCCGTAAAATACAAATGCTACAAGAACTCCCTTGTAATCCATGAATAAGCAATTGTATCATATACCGCCAAACCCGATTCTGATTGAAGGCAGGCCCCTGCATTATTTCCGGGCCGTCCTTCAAGTGTTGCTCAAGCCCTTCTCACTCTGATCGAATTGCGCGCATTGCTGATGAAGGAAATCCTGTGCGGCCCTAAGTAACCCCTCCGCCCCCAGTTTGGAAGGAACCTCGCCAGGGACATATGATGATGTTTGTATTTCACTAGGTTCATAAGTTGAAGCCTCTTGGCTTTGGGGCATCAGTGGTACGGAGAGGTTTGCAGAACTGTGTACCCCTAAAGAGGGACCCCGGATGGTGTTTCCTGTATACATGGAGGCATACTTCCTACTTTGAGGACCTTCAAACTACGTAGCTCGGTCGCTATCTATTGATGCACGTGAATGTGTGTGTATATATATACACATCCTACAACCCGCTACAGTTCTTGAACGGGCACCTTACTGCGAGTGCAAGCGGGGGCTCTTAAGTGAGACCCCCAACCTTGAGAAGCTTCTCAAAACAAGTCTTTCAACACACTCTGGGACACTTACCAGACAGGCTGAGTAACAGTAGTAGTGGTAGTCGGTAGCACACTATTCCCAACAGGACCTGAATGTTGTGAGTTTCCATGGTTTGTGATGTGGATCTGCAGTAGGGAAAAATCCAAGTTATAGTCAGGTAGTACTTTATAGTCCCTCGTGTTGCAATATGCCGACCTAGACTGAGCCAGGCGGCAAGAAGCAGAAGGAGCTGACCGAGGAGCAGAAACAGGAGATCAAGGAGGCCTCTGTTTCTGACAGATTGGGGAATATAGGGTTTTGGAGATGCAGGGATTTATAAGCAAGACACATGGTATGGGGATTAAAAGTTGTGGGAGAGTCCGTGGTAAAGTCAACGGTAGAGGTGACCTGCTTCCCTCCAAGCGGAGCTGCAGGGCAGGAAATCGAGAGTGTTGGTTGAAATTTGGTGGTTCCAACCAGGCACAGATCAGGCCAGAAGTAATTAATAGCGTACCACAATTCTGCAAGTTTTGAAATTGTAGTCTCGCATTTAATCCACTGAAAACCTCAGCAGGGACCCTGTAATCTCGCTGATTCCTGATCCTCAAATTTTGAGAAAACCTAGACCACCAACGTCAGCTCCCAACCCTAAGCCTTTGAAACTTAAGACTTGAACACCTACCTAAACCCTCGACCCTAAACTTGGGAAAGGCCTTCGACCTCTTTGACACTGATGGCTCTGGTGAGATTGACTCTAAGGAGCTGAAGGCCTTGAGATTCAGAGATTTCCGAAAGGCCTATTAGACCCTAAACCCGTTTAGCGTTCAGGGTTTAGGGTTTAGGGTTTAGGGTTTGGTAGCTTCCATGATCTCTTCCATTATTTCCATTATCCTAATATGACCCCTATAGTACCCCTATATATACACCATTATATTACAGCAGTTTATCCCCTTTCGGAGGTCCCATTTCGGGGCCCTACAACAAGGACTATAGTTTATTGGGGTCTATATACGGATCCCCCTTATTTATGGAACATTTAGAGGTCATTGCTTGGTGTCGAGTAGGGAGTTTTTACGGTGCCTTGAAAGGTGTTTGCGTGGACCGCTGGACTTAGATGGGGGTGATATAGAGATTTATAGAATTCAGGGTCCCACGTAGCTATCAAGATCATGGTCCTAGGGTACCTCAAAATGGACTTCAAAAGATTTGTTGTCCTCATTCAGGCTTCTACATTAGGGCTCGGGGGGTTGGGCTGATTTCGGCGTTGAAGAAGGTACGGCCTGGAATGGAATTTAGGATTTCGGCTTTAAAAGCTGCAGAGATGAGGCTGAAGGGCCCAGGTGATGGAAGCCATGGTCCAGAACTCCTAATAGATGGGTACTTGACTTATCTTTTGATTTAGTAAGTCAGTGTACCCAGTAGCACGGGTCATGGCTCTTGTGTTCGTGGCTACTGGGGATTGTAGGTGGGCTTACGGTGGTCTGCCTAAGTTCAAAACATCATCCAAACAAGCACGCGTAATTTCATCATAGGCATGATTCAAACGGGGCTGATGATGTCGCCAGCAGCCCACTCGAGTGCACAAATTATTTTGGAAATAGACCTGCACAGGTTCTATTGGATTAGACCGAGGGTCGTTTGACCGGTTCCTTGTTTGGACTTCTAGATACTATAGAAGTTCACGAACCTAGCAGTTGCCGGTAGGCTCCAAAGCCTCAACCCAATGCTCATATCTTAAGCCCAGCAGCCCGTGAGCGGCATCCCTCAGCAATTCCCATGCCATGCAACACGAAATCATGAGGCTATCGTAAGCCTCAGGCGCCCACGCCCACAATCCTGCAAGGTCGCCATGCGTGCCCTGGGTTTCGAGCCAAAGAAGGAAGAAATCCAGAAGATGATCTCCGATGTGGATGACTCTCGATGCTTTAGTGATCAGGTTTTAGATTTGGGGTGAAGGGATCCAGGGTTTTAGGGCTAAAAGGGGTTTGGAAAGGAAATCTGCAATCTCGGAATGATGAATACGTCAGGATTGAAATCACAGAATTCACGTTTGCTACGTATGTGCCAAACCAGCTCTGCCAGAAGGAGAACTGACTATACCATAGGCGGGCGAGGGGTCGCTGGCCACATTAGGATTGAAACGTACTTGCAAGAACCCCACCGACCTACATAGATACATAGATACATGTCTGCGCGTAAAGGCAGCATCCGACCGATAACCATATCTGTAAGCTCAGAACCACCTCAACCTAAGACCTCAGTCACGAAGCACCAAAGCTGCCTAAGCTGCCCACGACGCCTATCTAAATCCTCGAATACTTGACTTAGGATCCCTGAGCCCTACATCCGCAAGAATCCTTCCTCTCTGGAGTCCTAAACCCGGCGACGCAAGCTGAGGATGATGGCTCCGGCACTATCGGCTATGAGGAGTTCCTTAAGATGCATCCTGACGGCACCAAGATTTGGAGTTGAATGGGTTCAGTGATGATGACTACCACTATGGCATTGATGTAATCCATGCTTGTGATTAAATCTCGCTAGATTGAAACGAAAAATTTGGCCAAATTTGGGGTCAAAGACAAGTTTGAAGCAGAGGCACTTTTGGGCAACAAATACTAGATTGCAAGAAATTGTCCCCAAACCCTCAGAAAATGAGGCTCCAGGTAAGTTTTAGGCTCTAGACCTTAGTCTTAAAACCTAAATCTGAAGTCCTATATCCTAATCAAACCTAAAGCCTGGTCTGTAGTTCTAGGAGAGTATGAGAAGGACCTGCTACCTACAGCCTTCAATTTGTACGCTACATCCCGAATTTTGAGAAGCATAGCGGGTTTGGAAATCTGGTTTGCTTACTAAAGCTTATTAGGAATTTCAGGGCTGAACATTGCTTCCCGAGTTACCCCTTATGGGTGCTGCTGCATGGATTAATAGCAAAACTCTAGAATAATAGAAATATTGTTGAAGGCAGCGTTGCTTGAATAAGCCTCAATACTTATGGCACACAATTTGAGAAGCATAGAGGGACATATATGGTTTCTTTCTGCAATCTGGATTCACTACAATAATGCGCCTTGGGTTATTAATATAGGGGAGGAGGAGGTGGGGGTGCCGGGCAATCACGGGGATGTACACGGAGCTTTTAAGGGCTTTTAAGGGGGGATGAAACGAGGATGGTGCTCTTGATAAGCGGAATCCAACATGTCTTCATTCGAGGGCCAAGGGGCAGTACGAGTCATGATATCTTCTTGACGGCTTTGGCACTGGGCAATGTGCTATTCATAGTCCATCAGCATCAGTGAGGACCTTAGGATGCTTTTGGGTTTAAAATGCAACGTTTGAGAATTGGCCTTCAAACCGTGGCTCTCTTAGAACAGGAGCCTTCGAACCCCGCAGCCTGAACAGAAACGCCTACACCGCTACACTCCCGAACCCTCTGGACCCAACAGGCAAATGAACCTAGCCTTTCTCACAAGGATGGCCTAGATTCCTCAATACTGAGGAAGTTACGTGGCCTGAGTGAACACCCATTGTTCATGTGCTTCTTCCCCATAGAAATTAGTCCCTGGGTTTAAGGCATCCAGATGTCAAACCTCTAGGCTTGGGAAGTAGGAACCCTCAACCCAGAGATTTCGTAAGGTTGAAGAGCCTCAGACACTTTCAGCCAGTGCGCTCCGACATAGTAGACTTGCCAAGGATGACGCACAAGATCTTGAATCGCGATCCTAAGGACGAGATCCTCAAGGCCCAGCACCAGGTCTGGGATTTACCAGGTGTACTGGACCCTCCCTTGGAAAACTCCCAAAATGAGATGTGTACTTTTGGAGGCAAGGGCCAAGCCAGATAAGACATGGCCCCAGATCATTGGATACCCTTTTCAAGGAATTGGGTTTCTGGTCTTATCCAGCTGACGTATGTACATTGGTTGCAATGCAGTTTCTAGGTGGCTCCTTTCTGATGGTGGTAGCTTATGTGAGTCGCAACCCAGAGAGCGGGCAATGCTTGAGGTAGTCCTAGCTAGGGTTTAGGGCCTAATTTCTCAATTACAGGTCCACGCGGGAAACCGCCCAAACCTCCAGGACTAAACGCAAACATCCAAGACGCAAGCCCGTGAACGCCAATCCTATGGTCCCAAAGGCTTTCCGCCTCTTCGATGATGATGAGACGGGCAAGATCTCCTTCAAGAATCTTAAGCGTGTGGCCAAGGACACTACCTTTCCAGGAAGCAGGGGCCCCTCCAAGATTCCGGCTTTAGAGGCATTGAAGCTTTCGTGGCCATGGAAGTCTTCAGACAAAGCAGCCCTAAACCCTAAACCCTGAAGCTGGTGTATTTTCGCCAGCTTCGGCTCTCAATAAATTAGGCCGACCCTCTGTCCGTGAGTCCAACCCTTTGTAGTTCCTCAAAGACGCGGCTGGGAGTCAGGGCCAGGGCACAGCACAGAGGCCTTCAGTGTTTGCTGGGACCTTACTTACAGTGGCCCCTTCATGGCCTTGTGTGTGCTTGTGAGCGTGTACGATGCAAGAGGCCTACCACTTTCCAAGGTTCGATATCCTCCAGAGATCCAAATCAGATGAAGAAAAGGCCTTTAAGCATGCTCGTGTGTGATTGTCCTGGCTTCCGAAAAGAGCTTATGCCTGCTGGGTAGGGATTAGTGACAATACCTGAGTTACAGGGACTGTGACAGGGGTTGCAACCGCGACGAGAAGGTTCTCGTAGCTTGGTCATCATAATGCAGTACGCGCGGTGTGACCTGTGGTATGATGAGCCTCTTGACGCTGAAGCCCTCTCATTGTCCCAATACACCTAGGGTCCAGGGGTGCCGCACGAGAGCTCGCAGTGCACGCTTTGTATAGGAGCTGGGCGAGCGCATGACCGACGAGGAGCCTGTGGCGGCTAAGCGGTTCACAGTTCAGAGTTTGAAATGAGAGTGTTTGATGCTCGTACGTTGGGGATGAGCCCTGGTGTTCTACCTGAGTAGATGTTTTTTTGGATCTCATGTGAGTCAGCAACCACAAGCTCCAACTTTAACATGTGCGGGCAACTTCCTCCGACTCAGTGTCCCTTAGGGCCTGAAAGGGCCTCCACTATCCTCTTCCTACTTCTGTATACCCCTGGAATCCCCAACCCCTTGATTGAAAACCTCCGCCATGCAGCTTTGTGAGGAGCTTCAGGAGATGATCGACGAGGCCGATCGCGATGGAGATGGCGAGGTCAACGAGGCGCAGAGAGATGGGGGGGGCTGCTGAGGATAGGGGGATGGATTTGGGTTCAGGATTTTAAAAGATTTAGGAAGTTTACATAGGGACTTCAGGGATAAGGGATCCATCGTGGTTCTACGGACATGACAGGGGCCCCCTGAGCTTCACAGACATGACAAGGGTGCCCCCTAAGGGGTTGCATATCATTGATGAGCTTCTGCTCGGTCCAAGGCCATTCAAGTTAGTACAGATGGGAGTCATCAATGCTCTACTTTGCATTGGCTGGCACGTTTTCGCATAGTAGCTGCTGAACTTCAAGGATTTAGTAGGACTCTTTAGGGGCTGCGCATAACTCAAACTGAGCTGTTGTTTTTCTAGGGCTTGCTTGGAAGAAGACCAAACGCTTGTGGCTTAGGGCAGAATGCTTTCTCAAGATCATGGGTCCATCCTGTTACGGGGCCTACAGCCTACGTTGGGGCCCCAAACTTTAAGATGCTTACGGAGAAAGCATTCGACGTTGTTACTGTTTCGGGAACAGGGGGGCCTACTGAACGTTAGAAACATGAGCCCATGCAGGCTGCAAAGGGTAATGAACCTTCAACTAAGCCCTACGTGCCCCATACTGCAGGAGGAGTTCCTGCGCATCATGAAGAAGACGCTGCTCGGCCGCCACTATATATAGTCAGCTAATATCATGCCCTAAGAAGTTTTTCTGACATCATCGCTCGTGTGTTTAGAAGGTGCCATGAGAGGACGATCTAGCTTTCTTTGTGTTGAGAGTGCTAGCCCGTGCCTCTGAAATATCTGCGGCTCTGGGCATCCCGCTTGATCTAATAAGGGCACTGCATTGGAATTTAGGGGTTAGAACTTGGATTCGGGGTCCCTTCATCCTGCAGCACTCTCAGAAATGTGGGTAGTTCAACCTCCCTGCTACTATGGACAGTCGTAGGGTGCGTCGCGATGGCTTGGGGTTAACGATTCCTAGCCCCATTTGAAAGCTTACAAACTTTCAACCCAAGCACTGAACCCGAAGCCCTAAACATCTGAAGAGTCCCGCAAAGTTTTGTGACTCTTTTGGAATGTTTTCTTGTCTATGACATGACATTTCCCTCTGGGTACAGATCTACGTTCAGGACTTGGGCTTTGGCTGTGGGATTTGGGTTGAAGGCCTTAATTCTCATGCATCCTGCTTGGAGTGTATGACACAGCTCATACCTTAGGTGGACCCCTGCCCAGTAATAATGACTATAAGGGATAATAGTTAGGGTCCTATTTTACCGCAATTAAAGGTTGGGGGGTCCTCCTAACTCATACCACCCTCTGCAGGAACCTCTTCTGAACGCGGGCTCGCTGGCCCAAATGGGGCGCAGCATCGAATCGCAATTTCCGCACCATAACAGCCCAGACTAGTCAATCTCGGTTTCAGGTAGGAAAAAATTGGGAGAAATGCATCCCAGTATAGGTGAAGTTCTATCGATATTTTTGCAAGCAGGGAAAGGGCGACTTCATATTTGGAGGAGGGGGGTGTAGTCGTCCACGTTAAGATTTGTTAGTTGCTGAGAGCGGAGAGTGATGTGAGTTCAATACGGGCTCGTCCAACCATGAAATGATAAGGGGCTGGATGTCGAAGAGCAATTGAGCAGCAGTTTTTTTACGGTAGATCAATTATAACTGCACAACACAGAAACTCCTCACATCTTGGTCCGAAAACGAGGT